ATACCTTGAGGCCCTTGCAGACTTTGATATTTGCATAAAAGGGCCTGGCTCGGCTTCCACGCTGGGACAAAGCAGCGAGCAGGTCGCTGTGGACAGGGCAGCCTTTTTCTTCGTGAACAATCTCGCTGCCATGTCACAGTCATCAGCGTGTGTACGCTTCTTGGGCTGAGGGGTCCGCTCAGCTGTACCATCTCTGTAACTGTGTGTGCACCGTCTGGGTCTCTGGCCAGAAGACCCTTCCAGCGCAGGCTGTCTGTGAGCCTGTTTACAAAGCCTGAGGTTGCTTCTGTTTTGCTTTAGCCAAAAGGGTGAAGTGCTGCCAGCAGTATGTCTGGAATGTTATTTACTTGGGACATTTCTGTGGCTTTTCTTTGCAGTGCTGCACATGCCAGAGCAAAGGGTTATTTACTTGAAAATGCCAGGTTTCGCAGTTTGTCTTCTCCATGGGGCGACTTTCTCAGGAAGAGGAAGTTTAGCTCCTGGGCCTCTGTTTCCTCCCTCCCTCCTTCCCTCCCTCTCACCCTTTTCCCTTTCCTTCCTGTCTGCCTTCCTTCCTTCCTTTTTTTTTTTTTTTTTTTTTCCCCCTGAGTTAGTGCTCTGAACTTCTGTTGTTGCATACTGCATCGCACCTTTGTATCCTAAATGCCCCAACTACACTTTTAATTCCTGGCGTTTCTGGTGGACTCTGCCGGGATCCTGGCTGACACCTTCTCATTTGCGCGCCTGCCCTGTTATTATTTCACATGAAAGCTGTCTATTTTGGCACGCGTGACTCCCGCGCTTTCAGTTGAGCTCTCTGAGCTGAACGGGCGATGCTGTGCAAGGCAAGTACAGGTGGGGTTTTCTCTACCGGCCGCCGTGGGGGCAGAGGACAAAACTGCAAGCCGTCCTGGCTTGTGCAGAGCCCATACGGTGGCAAATGCATGGCTTTTAAAGGAATGAACCAGTGTGTACAGCTTCTTAATTTGCAAGGTTTCACGACTGCTTTTGTTCAATCGATGAAGGAGAGTGCCTTTTCCCCCCCCCCCCG